TCTTCCCAATGTCGTCAAGGGAGAATTTCTGTTTACCACAACTGGAACTCGCTGATTCTAGAGTGCAGAAGCTTTAAGAGAAAAATGGAGATGAGGGATGGATTAAACAGAAACCTGACAGGTTTCCCTGCAAGAGTCTTGTATTTCCGCCAGTATTGGCTACGAGAAAAAAGCCAGACTCCTTGAATCATGAAAACCAAGACACCGACGTGTAAGTGTTATCGAGCCTGTTTCGTGTTCTTGTTACTCCGAAACAGCCCCTTGAAATCTGCACCCATGGCTAGACCTGTTAATGGCCGGGTAGTCCGACCGGCTGGCCTGGCCCAATCTAAGTGGCTTACACAAGATTTCAGATCCGTGGGTTCGAGCCTAAAACATCAGGCCCAATTTTTTTGGGCTGGGTTTGGGCTTTCTCAAAAAAACCTAAGTTCGAGTCTGACTTAATAATGTATTATATTAATAAAATATATTTTATATAATAAAAAAGTGTATATAATATATTTTCTTCTTTTTTTCAAGTAATAATGAGATTTTTCATTATTTTTTTTAAGTTTTTAGGTCTTTTAGTACAAATAAAACAGCTTTTAATTGAATTAAAACGGAAATTTTCTTTTTTTTTTTCCAAATTTCTAACCGGGCTTGAGTTCGGGCTCAAGCTTCGGGCTTTATATGAGGGTCGGGCTTAGGCTCGGGCCTGAACATATTCTATTAATGTAGAGGCAAAGCCCGGCTCGGCCCGTCAACAAGTTTACCCATGGCTACCCATGGCCATGGCCATGGTGAACATCCAGAAAATACATGCATGAATGCTTAAGCATTGGCAACAATTTGCATTGGGAATGAGCTTTACGACAGTCATAAAATGAGGAGAAGAGGCGGGGGTGGCCAGTGTTGCGCACTGATTGTGCATGTAGCAATTTTAGGGACTGTTTGGTAATTCTTTTTTAGAAGATCTTCTAGTAGCTCTGACAGTCAAAAGAGGCATTGAGATTGTTGGGAAATAGGGATCACGAAAACTTGGAGGATAAGCTCTGAGGCGTGTCTAAAGACATTGTCTTTAAAACGTTATTTAACCCCACTCAAATTTATTGAGTTTGTTGTTGGGTTACAAGCAAATTCATTCCCATTATACAAACAGAGCCTTATGTGATAGTCTACAACCAGAAAAGTTGAAGATTCTCTGAATAAACCTTATATGAGACAATAGCAGATCAAACAAAGAGAGAGATAATAGTGATTTTTGAAAAGCTTGTATGTGCATTTGTTTGATTCATGCTCCTTAAATAATTTTTGCAGAATTATGGAGCAGAGGAAAGTGTTGGTTTAGAAATGGCTCATTGAACAGTCAAAATTTCAAACATTGTGACTATTAAAAATGTAATTAACAATTAATGGCTGTTAAAATTGAATAGTGTCTCTTGATCACACCTGATATGTTGTGCAATAGCAAGCCTCCATACTCTCATCTTTATTTCTAAGGAGTGTAAAAAAGCTCTTATTTAAAAAACTCAAACAAATTTTGTAATTTTCCAATATGGAACAAGTTGGAAATTGGTTTTTGTAAGAGTTTCCAAAACATGTGTGTAGGTGTTTTTTTCAATGAATTTGATCAATCAAACCCCATTGGATTGATGAGATTAAAATCCAACACTTTTGCAGTAAGATCTTAGTAGCCTGAAATCCATTTGGTTAAAGTGTGTCTTTCTGCACGAAGACGAATAGAAAAAAAAACGCAAAAGCTCCATTTGGAGCTCCCCAAAAATTGTCCAATTTGGGCTTCTCATGTCTTTTCGGTGTGTAGGCTTTTGGCGGGTAGGCCGAATTACGGTCTGCTGGGTTTGTAAATAGTTGTTAGACTGCACGAAAAGACGTGCCAAACAAGGCCATAGTATTTGGACTCAAATCTATTTCGGTATAATGTGTTTCTAGTAGAGGTGTAATGTGGTGGGCCGTGCCGCTTGACACGGACCCCTCAAAAAGGGAAGCCCAATGTGATCCACTCATGTTGTGCTGGGCCACGGGCCGGGCCATTGGTAGCATGATTTTTTTTAGAATAATAAAAGGTAATTAAAAAGTTAAAAGAAATTAATAATTTAGACAATAAATTAAAAAATCTTATAATTTTATTCCATATGAAATTTGATGTATGCAATTGTTTTATATGAAATAATAAAATAATTTTGAAAAAAAAATAATAAAATTGGAATAAAAAATTAAAATATATGCATATATTAATATATTATTTATGTATATGTGGGCCATGTTGGGCTGCTGGGCTGCTATGTGAACCATATCGTGCTAGCCTGCAGACCTCAAAACCCAAGTCTAACACACCCCAGGGGTACAGACCGGGCTGTGACATGATCGGTTGCTATAGTGACTAAGTCATACCAAGCAAGGCCCATATTGTGCCAAGTCATGTCAGCCATTAGGTAGCATAGTCCACTTTACAGCTCTAACTTTCGGCAGCATATATTTTCCCTTATGCTCCAATTGGGAATGATGCAAATATGAAGAATGTAAAATGGTTCATTTAAATGCAAAGTTGGATTAATTTTGCATTGACAAATAAATTTATCTTCTTACCAAACAAATTTTTAGCTATAATGGATGCAAACATGAATTCCAATAAAATTTGTCTTTTTTATAACAAAAGCCCACATTGAATGTAAATTTACTTATTTTTAATTGATATGCATTTACATATCGTTTTGAATATAAATATACTTTGAAAAATGTATTTTTTATCATTTGTTAATGCATAATTGTATTATTGCCAAACACTGGCAAACCTGAATTAGAATACATATTTACCCTGAACCGGGGTTTACACTCCCTCTATTTACATCCTTTTCCAAATGAAGCCTTTAATACAAAATACAAGATTTATAGTCTACAAATTTGTATTTGTACTCCTTCCAAGTGATGCTTAAAAGGAATGACTGATTGACATGAGAAATTTAGAAGAGCTTTGACCAATCAATCGAACCGCCCCCTCCCATACCCTAGTTACAGCAGAGTTTGATGCAAGTGTTGATTCCAATTAACCAGATAAATTACTGAGAGGGTGTTTTGATTTGTAATTGTGTTTATACTTGATTTAAGCATTTGAAAGTAATCAATAAAACTGTGTTGTAAAAGTGTCAATTAATGAGGCGGTGTTTATCGAATATTATAATTATTTATTGTTGTTTAATAGACACAATTGCACACAACCAAAATAGAATTTTAGTTTGATAAAGTAAAAAATGCATATGTGTCACTTACATTTATGTGGAAACTTGTCCACAAAATCACGAAATCAAACACCCTTCACCTTTAGTTTGATTATGTGGACACTAGTGGATAGGGGTGTAAATCTGATGGTTTGGGTAAAATTTAAGTTCAACCCAAGTCCAACCGTAAGAATTGAGGCTTGTGCCCGAATTATTTGATTTGGGTCCATTCCGAATTAAAATCTGATGCATTTAAGTTGGTCTTAATTCCGAATTGGATTCATATTTATCAATAAACTCAAACTAAAATTTAATATAGATGTATATTTATATATATATATAATTTATAAATAAAAATACATATTTGTATGTACATAATCAATCTGACCACGGGTTGGATTCAATCTACCTAATTAGAGTCGACCCAGTAAAAAAAAAAAAAAAAAAGCGTAAAGTTTTGAGCTCAGCCCAAAGGCTAAAATCCATCCCAAGCTTAGGCAGTGTAAAATTGCGTGTTGGGTCGTTAGGCTTTGGTTGGGCATGCCGCATGCCCAAGTTGCACCCCTTGGTAGAGTAGTGGGAGTGGATCCAAACCCTAGAAAAAGGGAAGTGTTGGACAGCATTCTTATATAACATGTCATAGTTGGCTCACCCGACTACCCGACGCTGAAGTACTCTTTACTAGTGACTTGTTAGAATAAAAAAAAGGTAAAATATAAAAATCTCACCTGAATTTTCTGACAATCAAAATATCTCCTCTAAAAGTTTTATTTTTGACAAAACAAGCAAGTTGTAATTGCATGTTTTTTTCAATATTATTATTGAAGAAGTTTTTGTGGAAATGAATTCTCAGTGGAGGTTTTTAGAATTGTCAGAACATGAGGGGAGGTTTTTATATTTTACATATAAAAAATGACCACGTGGTATATAGGCATTATTTTTATTGAAGCTTGCCACATGTAAAATTTGGAGTCGAATAGGAGGGAAGAGGCTTTGAGCTAAATATTTCCATATGCCACGTCGCTAATTCTTTGGCCATGTTTTACCAGTGTGGCTATTCCAGCGGAAGCCGGTTACGGTTAGCAATCCAAACGTAATCAGCTATACTGCACTATTGCTCGCTATCGGCGCATTTTAGAACTAAGCCCATAAAATCAAAAAAAGCTGCTGTAAGCCTGAAACAGAGACAGAATTCTATCCAAAATCATAAATCAGAGGCAAATTAGAATAATGAGTGGTATCCGGGGATCGATCAGAATCAGATCAACCACTTTAGAATTTAGATGTATATATATATATATATTTATTATCTTATAACTGAAATTACAGACAGCAGGAGAGGCATGTGCCTGCCATGTATGTGGCCTCAGCCTCGGTCTCTCTCTTTAACATCCGGCGCATGTTAAAGTGAGGATATGAGTTTTTAAATAATAATTTTCCGAGGGCAAAAAGCCAACAAAAGCTGAGACAACCCAAGCACGTGACCTGTCGAAGAAATTACCTGCCTCCTTTTTTCTCTCTCTCTCTCTGTTTTTTGGACAAACTTCCTTTCTCTCTGTCTTTCAGTCCAATCACTCTCTGGCAAGATTTTAGAAAAGATTAACGAAAATCAGAAACTAAAAAGGAAGAAAATTTAAAGGAAATAAGGAATCCCGCATTCTATTTTTTATTAATTTTGAAATTAAAATTTGAGAGATTTTTATCTCTTTCTTTTTAATTTTTTCGCTTGTACCGCATCTGTGTCTGTGTCGATTTTGGCCTTTTGTATTGGCTTTTCCGTGTTTGGTAGTGTGCGTTTTTCGCTTTTCTCTGATGGGATGAGAGAAGAGGATATGGGAGAATCGCAGAAGATGAACAGGGCAGGGATTAAAACCAACAATATACTCACAAGGAATACGTGGGGATCGGTTAAAATGGATAGAAATCACACCCAGCATTCTCCAATCTCTAGGATTTCAGAATTTCACAGATGATGGGCGCTTTGCTTGCTTCGTTGCTACCTTCCTTCTCTCTAAAAAATTCTCTTTCTTTTCTCCTTTGTTTCTGTCGAAATGGTGCTGAGACTGAGGAGTTTGATTGCAATCAATGTTTCTTACTCGTTTCTTCGTATCTGACCTCGGAATTTCTTGGGACTGTGCTTTTGGCATCTCGGCTCTGATCTGGAGCTGTTTCTGGCAGAGTTTCTTTGGGAAAGTTATTTTTCTTTTCGTCTGCTCCCTACTGAAATGGTGGTTTTGGGAGTGAATTTCGTCCCGGTTACGAATTCTTATGCGAGTAACGGAGGTTCTGGCACAGGGGTGTCGACCGTGATAGGATGGTGACAGAACACGTTTGAAGAAAAAAAGGCGAAGAGGATATTTTCCTTTTATAGAAATGTGGGTTTTGCATCTGCGTTCGGATTGAGATCTCTTTCATGGTGCTTGTTCGCTTTGTGCTGATGTTATGGTTGTTCTATGGATCTAATTTCAGGTGACATGGCTTCTTTAGTTGGTTTTGGTGGTTTTTCCATATCAGTTCTGGTTGTGAGAAGAGTGTGAGTGTATCTCAGCGCTGAAAACAGAGCATGGAAAGGAATTTAGTTTTCTGGGGAGTTGGTTTAGTACTCCTAGTCCTGGCATGGATGGAGGGGTCCGCTGCTACTCTTTCTCCGTCTGGTGTAAACTATGAAGGTCTGTAGATCTTGGCCTTCTTTTGTTTTTTGTTTTTTATTTTTTAATCCCTCTAGTAAATTGTTCTTCTCTGCCAGTGAACAGAATAGCTACTAAAAATAATAATCGATCAAAGAAATGGAGTAACAGGAGCCAACCGGATTTATTCGGTGAAAACTAAAAAGACTTCTTTGCGTTTCATTTCTTAATATTATTTGCCTTCTTGTAAATATCTCTGATTTACCTTTCTTTCTGGTAGCCCATTGACAAGCAAACCTATCCGGATTCTGGAAATGACTACATTTTAGCAGTTTTAGAGTCTTGTGAATGTTTTACCCAGAAACATCCACCGTACTTTATTACCTGCTTTAATACCGGTGAAGCTTTCTATTACTCGTCCTTTGATCAGGGGGTATAAAAATAGATATAGTAAAAGAAAATAGAAGGAACAATGAATCATCCTAATCTGCTCTTACCTTTTTCTTCTTTTGATCCAAATGCAGTTGTAGCCTTGATGGCCATTAAAAATGATCTAAATGACCCATACAACGTATTGGAGAACTGGGATATTAACTCGGTAGATCCTTGTAGTTGGAGGATGGTTACCTGCTCTGCTGATGGCTATGTGTCCGCTCTGTAAGATTCTTTTAGCCCTTTTATCTCTTACATGGTTTAAATATGTAACCTCTGAGTATTAACTAGAAATGATAACCATTGACATTAACCCCTTTTCGGTTCATAACTCATTCGTTTCAACTTCTTTTAATTTTTCAATCAGAGGACTACCTAGTCAAAGCTTGTCCGGGACATTATCTCCAGGAATTGGAAATCTTAGTAACCTGCAAACTGTGTAAGTTGAAGCTGCCTTCTTCTATATACATATATATATATATATATATATATATATATATGTATATATATATATGATAGGATAGTTGGGTGGTTTATTGGTCATTGGTTGGTAAAGATGGTGGTGGGGTGGTGGCATTCACTTATTTATGAAAGAATTTTGAACATTTTATGCAGGTTGCTGCAGAACAATGCCATATCTGGCCCCATTCCTGCTGATATAGGAAAGCTGGAGAAGCTACAAACACTTGATCTCTCAAACAATAAGTTCAGTGGTGTAATACCAAGTTCTTTGGGGAACCTTAAGAACCTTAATTATCTGTAAGTTTGGAGAACAGTCTGTCTTTAATCTTATTTCCATTTTCTGAATTCTAATCAGTGAAACTGTTTTATGTTTGACTTATTTTCTAAACTCTTTTTAGATTAAAGCTATCTTTTTTTTCCTTCTTGCTAATTCTTTTTCTTAGAGACAAGCTAATGGTCACTTGTGTTTTCTGGCCTTTTAAACAAGTCAGGCGGTTGAATAATAACAGTCTTTCTGGATCCTGCCCTGAGTCTCTGTCCAATGTGGAAGGTCTCACCCTCGTGTATGTCTATATCCTCTCACTTGTTCTTGTTTTCTCTAAGTTAACAATTAATTGTTTTTATATTTATTCATAAACCTGTAAATTTACTGGTTTAAGTGAACTCTGACTGTAGGGACCTTTCCTATAACAATCTAAGTGGTTCCTTGCCAAAAATATCCGCCAGAACTTTCAAGTATGATTTTCTTTTTCTCATTCTCTTGATTTTTCCATTTTTGGAGTTATGTTTGATTTTTAACGTTATCAATTTATATCCTTCTTTAGAATTATTGGGAACCCTTTAATTTGTGGACCAAACGCTGAAAACAACTGTTCTGCTGTGTCACCAGAGCCACTTTCATTTCCACCAGATGCTCTAAGAGGTATATATGTACCTAATCAACTAGTTAAGATTACTTTGATCACTTGAATAGGATGAATATCTAAGCTATAGGCATGTTGGGTTTCCCAGCTCAATCAGAACCTGGAGGAGCAAAAAGCCACCATGTGGCTATTGCATTTGGGGCAAGCACTGGGTCAGTTTCTCTTATCATCATTGCTGTTGGGTTGCTTCTCTGGTGGCGGCACAGACACAACCAGCAGATTTTCTTTGATGTTAATGGTTAGTACCTCTTCCTATTCAGGATACTATTTCCAGGATGATTTCTTCTATCTGCATGTAGATACGATAGTTAGAAGGTATTGAAGCTAGTTAATCTTTCTTAGTGGATTCTAGTATTTCAGTTGGTGAGTTACATTGCTGATAGGGTCATATCCCTAGACATGCTCTGACTGATCTATGAACCCTTGTTTTAATCATTGGCTGAGTTTTTTAAACTATAGTTTGGACCATAAATTTGGAAATTGGGGTTCTTCTGATTGGTTTGCATTTTAGCTATATTTGCACCATTAGGTGGTTGACCAATTAAAAGATAAAGTCATTAAAAAAGTGGTGTGGAGTCCATTAAGGAAGCTGATCCTTGATGTGCCACATGACAATACAGGAGTTGTGCATGGAAGTACCAACACAGGGATATAAAATTGTAGATTTTTTTTGATAGATATATAAAATTCTAGATTTCACATAAACATCTTGTAGGCCAGAAATATATAGTGATCAAGAATGAAGCAACATATCATGGGGCAATTTCAAAACCTTTGTTGTGGTTTTTTAGGTCTTTTAAATGAGTGGTGGATAGGATGCTGATTTTGATCCAGGGGATCTTGTCCTGTACCTATTTGATGGCTACTTGATACATAAAGTGTGCATGGCTTAGTATTTGATGTCTTCTCATATAAGATTTTATTTATTTATTTTTTCAATGGCCAACTCTTCAACCATGCTGATAAGACTTTATTTATCTTAAGAACTTACTTTTCTCTGTGTATATCTGTGCACATTGTGCCTGCATTTCTCAGCTAAAATGTTTCATGGCAGATCAATATGATCCAGAGGTTTGTTTGGGCCACTTGAAGAGGTACTCGTTTAAGGAACTCCGATCAGCAACTGACCATTTCAACTCAAAGAACATTCTAGGAAGGGGTGGCTCTGGAATTGTTTACAAGGGTTGCTTGCAAGATGGGACTCTTGTGGCTGTCAAAAGATTGAAAGACTACAATACAGCTGGTGGTGAAGTCCAATTCCAGACAGAAGTTGAGATGATAAGCCTGGCTGTCCATCGGAATCTCCTTCGACTTTGTGGGTTCTGTATGACACAGAATGAAAGGCTTCTCGTCTATCCTTATATGCCAAATGGAAGTGTTGCTTCTCGATTAAGAGGTGAGCAAATTTGGCATCTTGGAGTTTGCATTACTTGGTGTCTTCCTCAGTCTTATGCTTGAACCTTCAAATTGCTACAAGATCTGCAACATCAAATGACATTGGTCATTTGCTATTTATCAAGTTTGTCCTCCTACTCAGATGGGGCCAACTGTTTTTGTGTGTCATGGTGGTAAAATTTGGCTTTTTGACAACTTTTGGTTTGAGTGTGTTATACACACCTCCTTGGATAAAAAACAGTCTCTGCATTTAAGAAAAGGTCTCAACTCATTAACCAAAAAAAAATGAAAGAAAAGGTCCAAACTCAACTGCATTCTTAAAAGAATATACTTCATACCTCTTTCTGACAATTTATTTATTTTCTATAAATACATGTAATTATTTTATTGTTTACTAAACTTGTGATTTACCCTGGTAAACTAAGTAGCTATGCAAAATTTTTGTAGCTAAACAGTGGCTGATTTCTGATTGCATCATTTCAATATCTTTATTGCTAGAGTGAATATTCAGTTTCTCAACCTTCTATTTTCAGTAATCCTTACTAACGAGCCTTATCTGTACTTTTAACAAATTATTTAAATTCTCTTTGATTGTATGTAATGTATGTTCTTTTCCCATCCCAGATCACATCAATGGAAAGCCAGCTTTGGACTGGTCAAGACGAAAGAGGATAGCACTAGGGACTGCAAGGGGGCTACTGTATTTGCATGAACAGTGTGACCCAAAAATTATTCACCGTGATGTGAAGGCAGCTAACATTCTGCTTGATGAAGACTTTGAAGCAGTTGTTGGAGATTTTGGGTTGGCAAAGCTCTTGGATCACCGGGATTCTCATGTTACCACAGCTGTCCGTGGCACTGTTGGTCACATAGCTCCTGAGTACTTATCAACAGGCCAGTCATCAGAAAAAACAGATGTATTTGGTTTTGGCATCTTGCTCCTTGAGCTTATTACAGGTCAGAAGGCTTTGGATTTTGGACGGGTGGCAAACCAGAAAGGAGTAATGCTTGATTGGGTACTCTCTCTCTCTCTCTCTCTCTCTCTCTCTCTATATATATATATATATATGAATCTATCTTGTTGGCTGCCTCATCGCCATGGAAAATTATCCTATACATTATTGTACTGCATTTTTTTGAGCCAAAATATTTTTGGGGTCTTAAAGCTGGATTCTAATGAATGGCTGATCTCACGTCCCTAGAATGTGCAACCTTTTATTAGTGACTGAGGGGTTCTGAGGATTATGGTCCTTAGCATCTAAACTTTTCAAAAAATGTGCCTCAGGTTGAACAATCTGAGTAAATTTAGATGCTGCAGAGCAGCCCCAAGTGGACTAATTAGAGTTCCTTAATGTTGGAGACTTGGACTTTGAAGACGTGTGAATTTGAGGAATTTTCAAAACTTTCCAAACGCATCAAAAGACCTGAGCATATAGGCTATTGCTTTGTCTTCATTAATGTCCTCTCAAACAGTGTTGTCTATATGTTCCACAGGTGAAGAAGCTTCATCAAGAGGGAAAGCTCAATCAAATGGTAGATAAGTGTCTGAATAACAATTTTGATAGAGTTGAGTTAGAGGAGATGGTTCAGGTGGCTCTTTTGTGTACGCAGTTCCATCCTTCGCAGCGTCCAAAAATGTGTGAAGTGTTAAGGATGTTGGAAGGCGATGGCCTAGCAGAGAAGTGGGAAGCCTCGCAGAAGGTTGAGACACCGAGATTCCGGTCGTCTGAAACCATGCCTCAGAGATACTCAGACTTCATAGAGGAATCCTCACTTGTTGTAGAAGCAATGGAGCTCTCTGGTCCGAGGTGACACGTGTCAATTTGTTATGAACGCATCCGTTGTGTATCACAAATTGAAGAGTTATTCAAATGCAAATATATGATTGGTGTTCATAGCTGTTGAGAGTGCTTGTATTCATCTGTACAAAAAGGAATACTCCATCTTTTGTACTAGCATCCATCCCGTCCTCTTCTCAGAAAACTGGGTTGGGCTGGTTGAGCTTTTTGCTAGAAAATTTTGGTGTTGCATATTGTGAAGTAACTCTTAATTACTGGTTTGATCTCTTTCTCTCTCTCTCCCCATTGCCACTACCGCACGGTTTCATGGGTTTGTCTATGACGATTTGAAAAAATTTAAACAAAGCACACTGCTTGATGTCTGCCAAAGTTTGTTGAAAAGGGTGGAAAGTACAGGAAGACTACTTTGCCATGAATATTGATTGGAGCTTCGTGGCAAGCATGGATGGGCCTCGACACTGGACATTGGACAGCCATGGATGAGGTGTCCCTCTTTGTTTTTCTCTGTTAAAATAAGGGCGGGGAGAGCAAAAAGGACGGCTCAGGAATGTCCTTTTGCGGGTCACAGACCTCTGTAAAGACTATTTCACGGAATAGACCAAACCAAGGAAATGGCAGTGGCTTGGGTCTTGGCCCCGATAAGTTGTCAATCTGTCCCGTATTTGCATCACCCACGATTCCATGGGTCCCATCTTGATTATCATCTGGATCCCAGAATCATTTTCATGTCTCATCTAGATTGTGGGTTTTCTTCTTTGTGAGTTTTCTTCTTTGGACGCTAGTGTTGTTGAGGCCCTAAAAATATTGATCCATGAGCCCACGAGGCCATGACATTCGGATTTGGTCCAATATGAGTCCATTACATTTTATCCAGATTCAATCTAATCCGATGAATAATTTGGATCAGTCCAATCAATTTCTGGACCATGGTTTTAAAGAACGACTCGGAAATGAAATCATTTTAGCTATCGGTTTTTGGGTTGATGATTTGACTGTCTGTTTTGAATGGATGGCCTGTTCTGACAAAAAAATTAAAAATAAAAATGTCCAAAAACCGTTGAACACATCAGCGGTTCGATCGTTCGAGTCAACAGGTTATTGACCGATTCAATAGTTTTTGGCCAAGGATTGGGTTTGGGGTAAAACAAAACCGATTGCTTGGATGGTTCCTAGGTCCAACCATCCGGGTCAACAGCGGTTCAAAAACCATGGTCTGGACTGTTCAATCTATTCAAATTGGTTTTAACTTAAAAGAGTAAATTTCTTAAACTATCCTTATGGTTTAGTTAATTGACACTCTACCCTTACTGTTTACATATTGTCTAAGAGTACCTTTAGGCTCCCTTACCATTAACTTTCTGTCATGTTCCATCACCTAATTGATATATTTTCCAAAATTTCTTCAAATACCCTTTCGTCTAAGTCCACTCCATCTACATCTCCATCTCCCTCATCGGTGAGGGATCTTCGCCCAAGTCCTTCAAACGCCCAGTTGCTCCCAAAACCCAGTCTCCATTCTTGAGCACCACCGCTCTTGGGGATAAGTCGTTCATCCATTTGTCTCCATTATTGAGCACCACCGCTGTTGCAATCAACTGTTCTGTCACTGTCTCTTGGACCAGCATGGATGGTTTCCTCGTCATTCGATGGCTACTTGCTCTTTGGAGAAACCGATTGATCAGTTCCGAGTAAACCCACTCTCCAGCCAATGCCCTGTTTCTTATTCACTAGATGCCATTACCGGCATTACAGCAATGCATTCTTTACAAAGTTCTGCCGGATCAGTTTGAAGGGTGCTTCTGTTAATTTATTCCATCGATTTTAATAATAGAATGTTCTGATAGGAAATGTTCCCAATGTACCGTGGATGTGCATGTGAGGCGCCCAAGTATGAGGAGCAGATCCCGTTCCGCTTCAAACACCCAACTGCTCCCAAGACCTACCTTACGCTCTACAATTTGTAAAGCAGCGGTGGTTTTTAAATGAAGCCGCTGCATAAAGAAGATTAAATCAACCTAGCATCGTTCCATTCTCGGCGTATAGGAATTTAAGGAAATCCTTTCTCTCTGATGGCAAATCTCATCTCTACAAAAGTAAAAAGACAAAACCCAAAAATAGGAAACCAAAGCTTACTTGCCCAACATCAGTTCTCAACAAAGCCCTCCTAATTTTGGCGTCCATCTGCTCCGAAACCCTCATCTCCCCAACAGTGAAGGATTTCTTCGTTAGAAAATTTAGGGGTATCTTAAGAAAATATGCAAACATAAGGGTAGAGTTAGTCATAGAGGTGTAAAGCGCATCGTGTTGTGCGGGTCCGCACAAAGTGCGGGCCGTGCCGTACTGGCCCGTGAGCCATCATGGGCGTGTCTCCCTCCCCGGTGAAAATTTTGGGGGCTGGCCTGGCACGGCCCAGGCCCGTGCCGTGCCGCGGGCTTGGGCTGGGTTGGATTGCAGGCCATGCCGAGTTGGGCCACAGGGCAAGCCTTGGGCCTGGGCCGAACCGGGCTAGATTGCTTTTTTTTACATTTTTTTTTTGAAAATTTTGATTTCTTTTCTAAGTAAACATGTAAAACTAAAATATCCAACTTTCCTTTGAACTTTGGGAACTATTTGAAAAATTAAGAAATGAGAAGTCTAAGTTATCTAACACATAAATGAAAAACCAAATTGAAGTAAGAATGATGGAATAAAAATTGGAAGAAAAATAGGAATTTTATTTCATTTAAATTTGAATGATACAAATTACAAATACAATGATTGGATCATTGGATACTTGGATGAATGAAATATGAAAATGGAATAAATTAATAAAATATAAAAAATACAATATAGTTACAAATTGAAAATACAAAATTACATTGTTAAAAAATAAAAAATAGCAAATAAATTAAATAAACTTAAAAAATTTTACAATAATTTGAAAAAAAAAATTATACCAATAGTCAACTTCATAAATCATGACTTTCATCATCTACTTTAGGTAAAATATCCGGTGTAGTATCATGCACTCCTTTGTCTTGTAATGTATCTACTATATCTAGCCAATTCTTAAAGTAGATGCACATCTCTATACTTTCATCGTTCATGCAGCTTCTCTTGTTGTCCAATACCCTGGTACTTGCACTAAAACAAGACTCTGATGAAATTATAGACACCGGAGGGGTTAGTAGATCACGTGCCATGGTGGCGAAAACTGGATAATTTTTTGAATGTTCACTCCACCAGGTTAAAATATCAAAATTATTTGTTCCCTCACCTAAACTAAAAAAATTTTCTTATAAATAAAAATTAATTTCAGTAAATGAACTTGTTGTAGAAGTAGCATATTTCTACCTTCTACTTATTAAATAAAAAATTTTTTCTCTTCTACTATTAGGCTCAAGATCAGAAGTAGAAGATGTTGTACAAGTTGTAGGAATATTTCTTACTGTTTCAAATTCATATAAACTGTACGTTTCAAATAACAAATTATTAATTTATTCTTTTTATTTCCAATTTCAATATTCATATTTTCACAATATGTTTCAAGTAAAATATCTAAACCATATTTCCTAATCCTAGGGTCTAATATTGTAACAAAACAATAAAGGGGAGAAATGTTCTCCCAATATTTTTTAAATTTATTTTCCATTATTTCAACAATACATTTAAATTGAGGATTATTTCTATATTTTGCAAAACAATCATTAATTACCATTAATTGATAAGGTAAATTACAACTAGTTGGATAATAAATACCTGATAATTCTTTAGTTGCATCATAAAAAATGTTTTAAACAATCTCAAATACAAATTGCCATTTCTCATTCTTCCTCAAATATAATATCATTAGGCATTTTTGCATTATAAAAATCAGTAAGAATTTGTTTATGAGAAATACAACTTTCTAGCATTAGGTAGAATTTCACCTATGTTTTACATCTAATATAAAATATTTATATTTTAAACCATTATTTTGACATAAATATTTAAATTCTTGTTTTCTTGCCCCTAAACTTTTAATATATATAATACATTTTCTAATTTTAGAAATATGAGTAGAAATAATATTCAAGGCATCTTGAATACATAAATTTAAGATGTGACATGCACATCTGATATGAAATAATTACCATTTAAACATGGTTTTGATTGAGATTTTAAAATATTTATTATAGAATCATTATTGCTGGCATTATCAAAACTAATAGAAAATATCCATAAGCATGTAAAGTATTTAAAATGCTTGCAGCAATAGTTGGGCCAATATGTGGCCATTCAAGTCTAGTAAAACTTAAAATTCTTTTATTTAAAAGCTAATTTTCATCAATAAAATGGTTGGTAACACAAATATAACTTATGTTAAACTTAGATGTTCAAGCATCAGAAATAATTGCAACTTTAGAATTAATATTTGATAACAAATAAATTAAATTTTGTTTATATGAATAAAAAATTTTTAAAGCATCCGATCTAATAGTATTCCTAAAAGCTTTTTTATATTGTGGATTTATAGAATTACGTAACCCTTTTTCAAGTTTAGTATCTTCAGCTAATATAAATGGTTGTTCTGCATGTACAATATACTTTACTAATTCTTGTCTCATCTTTTCTTGTGAATATTTAAATGTATCAAAACTCCTCCTCCCAATTTGTGTTTGTGTTGTTTCTCTCCCTTATTCCTCTTTTTCTTCTTCCTTCTCATGTGTGAGCAAATGTCTAGTCAAATGACCCGTACCACCCTTGCTACAATAGCTAAAGTATTTTCTACATTTTTGGCAAACTGCTCTTTTTCCCTTCCCCTCAATATCCTCTACTTTAAAAATTTTTCAAACCGGGCTACTCAACTTAGAGGCCCTTTTTTTCTTTCCCTTAGTATCTGTACTAGGGGTGAAAGTTGCACTTCCATCGATATCAATAGCATTAGTGCTAACACTATCATGATGCGATTGAATATCGTCAACAATGAACATGCTGGGGAATCCGTTTTGGGAAGAGCTGGCCATTTTTTTTAGTTCTACAAAGATAAAAATTAATTTAATTAGACTTACCTGGATTGCTGGTTTAGAATCCCAACTTGATTTCAATGGTTAAAGCTTTTTAACATCCAAGCTTCCCAAATTGAGATACTTGAGCTAGTTGAGCAAGCATTATTTTTTGTTGAAATTTCAATAAAATTGAGAATTGAGAATTAGAGAATTAGACAATCAACCAATCAGAGTTATTCAGATTGTAGAGAATTGAGAATGTATGAGTATAAGAGAGAGAGAGAGAGAGAGAGAGAGAGAGAAGAGATTA